CAGACATAAACCACCGATCACTCCTTGGGAACCCTGTACAAGGTGACTATGAGTTGGAACCAACTCTATGGCACTTAATAACAACACTATAGCTATCTAACAATCTATCTATCTATCTATAGAATTATTCTAAATTACTTTACAAGTTATAATTCCAACAAATAGTCTTATATTTAATCTTACTTTACTTTCTCGTAGTAGATATTTTTGAGCAGGATATGCTGACAAATGAAGATATTTGCTTGAAACTCAATATTTTGATCAATATGTTTAAAATCACTTGATACTTAATTTTGTTTTTACAACTGTAGGTGGGTCTCTCAGACTGATTATGAATATCTCTTTTCAGGTTTGAAATTAAAGGAAATGGATCCTTCACTTTTTTGAATGCCAATGGTGTACATAGTTCAAGAGGCTTTGTTGATATAAAGTGGATTTGCAGCAAACCTAAATATTTATAAAGCAGGTAAAACTGAAAAATTATTATCATAATTCAGAGATTAAGGAAAGGATCAAATAGGCAGATGTTTCTTCTCACTTGTTAAGCTATGGAGTTATTGTTGTTATGTGCCATGGAATCGGTTCCAACTCATAACGACCCTGCACAGAGTTTCCGAGGCTGTAAATCTTTACAGGAGCAGAAAGCCTCATCTAGTAAACAAAGGAACATAAGACTGTTGAATGAATGAAGGGTGATAGGCATACTCTTATCAATTCAAGATACATATTTGCCCAATGTGAACATAAATGAGGAAACTTTTGATTCTATGAAATAGGAAATCAGAACAAGCAAAAAAGCAATAAATGATTAGATAAACTATGACTGTAGTACCAGTTACAATTTGGGAATAAAGAAATCAGCTATATTGATAAACTGGTATTTAAAATTCTAACAAGGTTACCAATGAGTGATAGGTTTTAACAGAACCTCCAAAAATTTTCCAAAAAGAGCATTATGTCTCATAACCGAATATTGTCTGATTCTTTTGCTTAGGACCGGTAATCAAGAGGAATCAACACTGAAAGAAGACATCATGTTTAGAAAAGTAGACAACCAGGGCAAATAAATCTTTTTTTATTATTATTTACTTGTGAATTGATTGATAGTTTACACAGAATAACATCGGTTTTACACTCATCATTTAATTGCAATGATTACCATTTCCTCTGTGCATCATTATTTAATAGTATTTGCTTCTATTCCCTCTGTTTTTTTGTTTTGTTTTGTTTACAGAGAGATGTACACAAAAATTCTCAGGAATATATAATCATTTAAACAATCAAAGGGTGCATTCTATAAGCCTGCCTCCT